GGTATTGTATGAATGACTGTAAACAAACATCCCAGAGGCTAACAACAACAAAATTTTTTTAAAAAAAAGATAAAAGGCACAGTGTTCTCCCCAGTGAGTACACACACCAAGCCATGCAGAATTCTCCTTTCTTGAAGAACAGTGCTTCTCAAAGGGCACTTCCTCAAACAGCTGGACTGGCTACAGCAGCACAAACATTCCCTGGGAAGGCGCAGAAATGGAAACCCTCACGTCTCATCCAATGTTCCCAATCAGAAACTCCAAGGATGGTGCCCAGTAAACTGTTTTAACAAGAATTCAAAGTGATTCTGACACGTGCTCAAGTGTGAGAACACAGCTCTAGACAGACTATAAAAACCAGAAATCAAACCTACACTGGGATTTCTCAAACTCAGTACTTTTGACTTTTGGGACCAAGTAATCCTTGGCAGCAGGGACCCCCTACTCTGTGCATTCTGGGAGAATGCGTGTCCTGGCCTTGACCTACATGCCAGCAGTTTCTTCTCTGCAATCCTGAAAACTCAGAATGGCTCAAGACTGCCAGTGTTCACTGGGGGCCAGACCACTAGCACCGACTTCAGAAAGTGCATACTTGTTGGGGATCACAAATTTACCATGATGGACTAGGCATACTTTCTGAAGAGATAAAAATGGAGGCTTAGGATTATCAGTACCACCCATCTGAGACTTCCCAGTGACTCTTTAGGGAAAGTCATCCTCCCCACCCACCAAGATTAAAACTAAAATCAACAGGGCAAGATTCTTCTTACCATAAACTCATCTCCCGGTCCGCTGAGTCATCCCAGGATTGTATTTGCCATGGAATCAGAAACCCCTGAGCCTCTTTCACTAGCCCTGCCTAGCACTGTATACATTCAATAACAGTGGCTCTCTGGGAGTATCAGCTCTTGGACTTCCCAGTCACTCATCCTGCATTACTATATTTGTCTGTTTTTCGTTTTATCATCTCGCTGTATTCTTAACAAGGCAATCAGGGCTCTTGGCTGGGTCCAGACACACACTAACTTCCAGAAGACCCTTGTGTCTTTTACTTGGCCTTTCCATATGTTCCGACCTTGTTCTCCCTGCCTGTAGCTTTATAAAATGAATTAACTTCAGTTAGACCCTACGTTAAATGTTTAATATTCTTTTTTTAAGCATTAAAGCAAAAGTTATATAAAAAAGATGCTATTTTTTAAACCTTGAAAACTAGTAGAGTGCTAATAGAAACATTAAAAAAAATTTTAAAGTAGAAAAAAGAGGATAATAAAATGAATACAGCAAAAAAGTAAAATCCTCAGTGTGGCATAGTCAATCACAGACTATCACTGCCTGGTTAGTATCTCCCAGATACTATCTTTAAAAACTAGGTACACAGTAAAAAAGAAACAAGGCCCCTTAGCCAGACCTGGGTTCCAATGTTACCCATGAGTTCATAACAACATGACTGGGGTAGTCATTTCAGTGTTTTTGTGTCTCAGTTTTCTAACCTGCTGTTACAATGTGACGCATGTACCACTAGTTCCATAACACTCTTCAGCAAAATAGCATCAGCTAAATGCACTGCTATTCAGCAGTAAAACAAGCTGAGCCACCGCACTACAAAGATTCATTTATTCAGGTCAAATTTTAGCACCAAATAATTTTTCAAGTCCAATTTATGCACATGGGGGCATGTGCTAGGGACACATACTCAATGTGACTTTCAAAGCATTGAATTTTGGAACTGCTGATAAGGAAAGAAACTTTACCTACCCTTGGGGGGGAGGGAAGTGTGAGGATTAGATCGGTAGCACACACAGGTCTAATTCTGCATTGGTAGACAGGAGGCTTACAAATGGCTAGCTATTTTATTTTTTATTTTATTTTATATTTTATTTATTTCTAAGTACAAGTTCTGATGTATCATTTGCTTGTTTTGAACTCTTTGATACTTCCTCTCTGCCTACAAATAAAGTCCAAATTCCTGAGCATGGAACACAAAAACACCCTTCCTAAACTGGATGCCAGACTGCCCAGCTCTTTGTCCTCTCTCCTGCGGGGTGGTCCTCATACCTCTGCCCTGGTCACCTTTACTATTCAAACCCTCTCCTGTCTTTCCTTCTGCCTGGAAGAGGGATGTGTATCTCTCCTTCGATAGACCACTCCTCAAGCCACAAAGACCAGCTCCAAAGACCTCTTCTTTGGTGTTTGCCCTTGGACACCCTCCTCCCCACATTCTAGCTAAGGAGCTTGCTCTGTCTTCCTACCACCCAAGCAACTGAGTTCAAAATACTATCTCTTCAGTAGACTAGTTCAGAAAGAATAATGTTAGTGTCTGTCAGCTGTCTTTCTACCCCACAGGTCTAGCAGGGTCCTAGCACTTGGTAAATGTTCAATAAAAACATAAATAAGAAAAGTCTGTGCTCCTCCACTCCCTCAGATATTTGTGCAGGCTTTCTTAGGTCAAAGGGTCACACAAATCAATGAATCAGACGTTGTGTCAGTGCAGGTTCTGAGGCAGATTAGGGCATGGCAAACTACCTGGGCTACTTCCTGTTACCTACTTCGTGTGACCTGTGGATTACAGATTTCCAGGACACACTGCACAGAACAGTTCCCAAAGCTCTGCACTTGGAACCAATCAGAGAGGATTATTTTCAATAATCTTTTCCAGACAACTTGAGCAGGGTTTTGATAGGCCTCCCTAAACCTGCCATCAGCCTGCAGAGTGGGAGATACAAGATTGCTAACATCAAGCTAGAGGGTGCTGTTAACTCTTTTAGTGGCTACCCTGTAGTTTGCAGAGCCAATCTCTTTAGTTGGCCTGAATTTGCTCTGCAATTCATGTTTCTTTTCTTTGTAAACTTTAATAAATGTAAAACCTTGCTACCTTCTGTGCTGGGCTTGATCAAACATTTGTTCAGGACAGAAAGAATCTGGATTTTTTTTTTTTAATCGGTACGGGGGATTGAACTCAACGACTGACCGCCTGCTTGCAAGGCAGGTGCTTATGCCGCTGAGCTAAACCCCCAACCCCTAGGATAGAAAGAATCTGAAAATCACCTAAATATAGGAATGAATGAATGAAGTTATATAAAAAACAATGTAACAAAAAAAATATGGCTACTTGCTTTCATTGTCATAAAATGTGGCATCTACTGAAAAGGTTGTTCCACCTCCCTATTTCTATGGGCCGGAGTCACAAATAGGAATTTGAAGCGCCAAGCCTCACTGGCCATCAATTAACAGAGTCCTGGAGTCACTGGGGCTGAATTGATCCAAAGCCTGATCCCACAATACGTCAGTCCCACAGCAGCTTAGTAATCACTTCACATGAAACATTTTATTAGCACTGCTACTGCCCAGTAATCCAAATATTCAGCAATTTATCCAACATTATTTATTTTTTAAATCCAGGGCTTTCACACTAAGTTCATCCCTAGCTCCTTTTACTTTTTATTTTAAGACGAAGTCTTGCTAAATTCCTCATGCTAGGCTTAACCTTCCAATCCTCCCATCTCAGCTTTCTCAGTGCAGGCATTACAGCCATGTAGCACATGTATGTGGGTATCTCTGTTCAAATCATACAAATACTGTACCATGTTTTCTCCGTTCTTTGCTTTTTTTTAAATTTGTATTTTTAACATTCCTATCGTCCCTATGTCATAGGCACACACTGTTCCCTTACTATGTTCCTGCTTCACACACCCTGCACTACTCATCCCTTCCTTCCCCACTTTGTTTGAGGTCCCTTACACATAATTGCAGGGTCAATAATATGCCACTGCTTGCTCATAACAAACTCACTACGGTACTAAAGAAAAAGCCTTGTTCATTCAAAAGCCAAACACAAAGGTCAGACAGGAGTAGGGGCCTCTGGGTTTCTCTTCCCTCACAGGACAAGCCCTCAATGTAAACTACTTCAAAGGATCATAATTATGAGTCTCGGCCTCTAGCGAGTCTCAGCCTCTTGCTTAGAGATTACAGCAGTCCTCGACCTTCCATCCACAACGTCTTTCCACTTTTGACCTGTCACTCTTCAGACCCACTTACTGGATCAAGCGCAGTTCATTCAACAAACATCAATAACTTCCTTTACAGTCCCACCAGAAAACCACTTAATTGGAGGGTAGCGGGTCTTAAGAACGCTAAAGTTTTACAAGTAATACTGCTCCAAGTCAAGTATGCTGTCCTGAAGACCAGAGTATGCATGGGGAGTCTCCTCTTCGCTAGAATCTCTGTGACTCTGTCAGTCACTAGTTTCCCCTCTGCAGCCTCAGCTTCCTCTTGGGTTAAGTGAAAAACTAGTCCAAATCATTCTTTCGCAAAGGGTGGTGGGCATGCAATGCAAGATGCATTGGGATAAGACAGAGACAACTTTATATGAGAACAGATAAACACTTTTGTTTACTCTTTGTGGCAAGTGATACTAGTTTTCCTAATAGTACAAATATAAACAAAAATTCCTAAAATAAATGCATCTAGTCTTTTTGTAAAATGACTCATTCTTACTCTAAAAAGGAAAAAAAAAAAAAAAAAAAAAAAACCCTAGTAAGAATTCAGGTAGTTCTAGCCATGGTGATGAAAATCTAGCGTAAGGCAGAGATGCAAACCCCAGAGCGACACCGAAGAGGTGAACACCCCAAGGGAGGAAATACCGGCAGCAGAACCCGTGGGAACTGGCCGCCAGTCCCCCGGGCTCCCGAAGGAGCGGACTTGAACAGATCACGAAATCAAGAAGCTCCCGAGCGCCGGGCAAAGCCCACAGAGTTGAGAGTCCCACGCTGGGGCGGCGCCGCAGGACTCGGTCCCGGGCCGGTGAGGAGCCAGGGTCCGAGGCGAGAGACGCGGCGGGACCCAGAGAAACAGGGCTCCGTACCAACGAGACGCAAGGCAAGCGAGGCCCGGGGACCCGCAGTGGGGACGGGGAGACCAGCGGGCCGCGGGCTCGGGTGACCCACGCGCGGAGGCCGGGGCCGCGGACCCACCGCCCACACGCGCCGCGCGGCCGGGCCTACCTGTCCTCGCTGGTCGTGATCACGCCGTCCTCCTTGGGGATGAGAAGCGCGGCTGTGACGGCGTCCTGGTGGCCCTCGATCTTGCTCAGCAGCACCGGGCGGCTGCTCTGCGGCCTAGAGTGGATCTCAGCCGCCATGTTTGCCTCCGCGGCCAGCCCGGCATCCGTCTGCATACCGCGAGGGGGCGGACGGGGACACGCCGGTTGCCCTGGGCGACCGAGACGCTTGGACCGAGCGCCGCCGCCGTAATCTCGCGAGCACTGGCGCCGCGAGCCGTATCACCTAGGAAAAGCGCTCCCTTCCCGACCTTCTGTGCTGGAAGGAAGACCACCGAGAGAGTGTGCTGAGAAACTAAGAGGATAATGAAGGTTAAGAAGTAGGTGCGGGGCGTGGTGGCTCACGCCTGTAATCCCAGCACTCGGGGTGGGGGCTGAGGCAGGAGTGTCACTGTGAGTTTGAGACCAGCCTAGAACAAAGTGAGCTCAAGGCCAGCGTCAACTAATAAATAAACAAACAAATAAATAAATAAATAAAGCCGTTTGATGTACACTAGCAAAAAGAGCTTCGTTATTGCTTGTTATGTTTGTATTATGCAAAAGTACCTGTAAGGCTGCCTACTGTTCTGTATGCGTTTTTCCCCCCTCTGGGTGACCTAATTGATATGTTAATCAATGCTCCCCTCTATAAAGAATTGAAAATCCCTGGGAACCTAACCTAATTGATATGTTAACCATTGTTGCCCTCTACAAATAACAAGATGTAGTGCTAAAATAAGCTGACAAAATATTGTTAATTATTGCTAGACTTCTCTGTTCTCTGCAAAGGGAAACAAAGGTCTTTCTCATTAGAAGATTTCCAGATCGAGGACCATAACCCCTTACTTTGTAAGCTGTGATATGTACAAAAAGGCTGCAAGTTTTGAGTGGGACACACAGCTTCTGCAAACTCCAACTGCACTGTCACTGGTCCCAGGATAAAATTAGGGCTGTATTTTTAAAACATGTTTTGCCCCATTTTTGTGCTGGAGGTTGGGGACTCTTGGGGGCTCGTTTGTGGATTAAAAGACTGTTCACCAGGAATGAATTGAGCAACTGGAAGACGAGCAGTTATGCCTCAAAAAGAGAATACTACTAATACACTACTTGAATTTTTTTAAATTTAATGACAATGAGGCCCTACCACTTTAATGATTTGTGGAATATACTGGATTGGGCGCGGGGGGGGGGGATACACTGGGTTTGAAGTCCTTCTTTCTTTCATATGTTGCAATTCTAGCCTTTGTTCTGCTCATTGCATGCCCTATTTTAGAAAAAAGCCCAGATCTGCCCATTTTTAATGTGAAATGAAAAGAGGGAGACAAAAGGAAGGAGGTACTGTATCCATTCTGAGAAGTCAGTGGTGGATTAACTAACGGTCAATTTGTAATACCCAGCGTGGTGCTGGGTGTGGAAGGCCCTCCTGAGAATTGTTGCCAACAACATAAAAAAGAGAACTGGAGGAGAAGATAGTATGTGGTTGATTCCCTTGAGAAGCTTATCACAGTGACCTTCCTGATATAAACTCATCTGTTCTCACCATTGGGGATACTCAGGTCCTGGCTTTTGCTAAGGACAGCTGCAGTTCTTTTTTGGGGAACTCTGGTCCTTATTTTCAGCCTGGCTTCCTAGCTCCAGTGAAGATATCTTGTCCTACTGGCTCAAATCCTTCAACCTACTGGCACAGACTTTCTAGCTTCTGTTGCTGGCTCTTGGGCCTTCGGGCCTTCACAGTGCAAAATTTTCATATAGAGTTGCATGAGACAATGTCATGGGCTCATGTCCTCCAGTTGGACTCATGGTAGACATTGCCCTGTGCTCTAGGTCTTCAGCTGGACTTGTGCAGGATGCTTCCATGGGATCTAGGCACTCAGCTGGATTCTTTGGATCTCTAATATGTAAACAGATCTCCCATACTCTTTTTGCATTTGACTCTTTGGGTGAATATTATAAAATAATTCTATAAATTATGTGTCCTGTATTAAATCCTTGTGTCCCTTGCTAAACCTGTCTGCAACACTCACTTGAAAGACATCCTGATTTCAGAAATATTAAATTGTGAAAAAATATACTGCATCATAAAATCTTGGAACTGCAGCAAATGACACTTATTGAATGGTGAATATATACCTGGTATTATCCCAATTTCTCGCATTACCTTATTTAATACTGATAATCTTAAAAGATGGAAAGGTAGCTGCTCTTGTTTTCACATTTTGGGGGAGGACTGCTCCACCCCTACCCTCCAGAGACAAAAATCTTACTATGTAGTTTAGGCTGGCATTGAGTTCACAATACACTCTAGGCTGGCCTTGAATTTGAGGCAGTCCTTCTGCTTGGGCCTCCCTAGTGTTGGGATTACAGCTGAGTGCCTCCACCCCTGGCTTTGTGTTCCCATAAGTTCAAGCACATACTTGCACATGTATGAGAAAGAGGAAAGTAGAGCTTAACCTCTGGGTTAGGTGGGTAGGTACCAATCAGCCTGACTTTGACGTTGCTGGATGTTCATGGCTGCTTCCTATTGTTATAGGCAGCTGAGCTAGTTAGAAATATTATAGGCAGTGAGACAGGGTTGGGCACAAGAAGCAGTTGGCACAGAGGACCAGATGTCTGATGACCTTGGAGGGGACACACACCTCTTGCTGTGGGCCAGATCTGGAGACAGAAGGCAAACAAATGTAACTACACCCTTAAGTATAATCCTTAGGGATTAAATCTGGATCACTTTGAGAAGCCAAGAGTCACCACCCCAACCCCCTATAGGAAAGTCACAAACATGACTCGCTTCCCCATTTGTCCCTGATTTGGTCAATTTTACCCAAACAATTAAAATTATTGGTTGCCCATAGCTCTGTCCCAACTCATACCCATCTGCCTTTCCAGTTCCCAGTTATCCCCAACTTTAGACTTGCCTCACCTCATGATTTTACTCTATAAAATTCCCAAGAAAATACAGAATCTCTGGCAACCCACTCAGGATCCCTCTGTCTCTCTCAGACAGAAGCTTTCTTTCTCTCAATAAATATTTCTCCTCTTAACCTCCGTTGTTCCTAAAATTCATTCTTTGATTTTAGAGAACACAAACTCGTTCTGGACAAATAATAGGTTGGGAGTCTCATTCCCCTATATCACTATGGAACATAAACACCCCATGGGCCCACCCTAGTCATGGCTTAATATAACCAAAGCATGGGCATACAAACCACAACAATGATCAGCCATCCTCCTATCCTGGCTAATATAAGAGACTGCCATCTGTTTTGCAATTACAGTGTCAGATTCTATTGAATCTTGCTTCATCGAGGTAAGGCTTGCTAAAATACCTAATTTTACCTGGGATGGTGGCCCACACCTACAGTCAGATACTCAGAAGGCTGAACCAGGAAGATAGCAAATTGGAGGGCAACACCTATAATGCCCTACTACTCAGGAGGCTGAACAGCCTGGACAATCTGATGAGATCCTATCTCAAAATTAACAATAAAATTTTTAAAAGCTGGGGAGAAAACTCAGCGGTCCCTGCGATCAACTCCCAGTGCCAAAGGAGAGAAGATACCTAATCTTAGATTACTTTCACTTCCCTTCAGCATCCAATCCAGAGAGAATCCCTTTTTCCTTACACCCGCCTCAGTCACACGACAAGTCCTATAATAAATTCTTTCTGACATTGTTTGACCCAAATATCTATTCTTCCAATAAGCAGTCTGCCTCACTTACTTGACTACAGATGCGTTGCTGGTGGTTTTGTCTGAGGACACTGACAGCTAGAAAGCTAGGGTTATGAGGGGACAGAAGTCAGTGACTCCAGACACTCCCCTCTTCCAGTAATACAGTGTATCCTGCAATAAACTGCACTAACCAAAGGCCTGTGAAGCACTGGGACTGTAGGTAGCCCAGATGGGAACATGGTATAAATGTAAGCTCCATAGTATAGTTTTGAGACTTTGTATAAAATTGAAGTATAAAACAACAGTGTAAAATCACTAATATTTTTATATTGATTACATATTGAAATGATTCTACTTGGGATATACTGAGTTAAGCAGCATAATATAATTAATAACATGATCTATTTCTCCTTAGTTTTTTTTTTTTTTTGTGTGTGTGTGTGTGTGTGTGTGTTGGGTATCAAATTCAAAACCTCAAGTTTGTCAAGCAGGCATTTATACCACTGAGCTAAATCCCAGGCCTCTCCCTAGTTTCTGATGTACCTAATAACAATTTTAAACTACAGTTGTAGCTGACATGCCATTTCTATTGGGTAGTGCTGAAATAATCCTGCCTTATGGTGAAGTTAATGACACACATTCACAGATTTATTGATCCATCTATTCAGCACCCCTACTGTATGTCATCTAGTGACAAGTTGACTAAGACATGGTCCTTTCAAGGATCCTACAGTATGATGATTAGACAGATGACCAAAGTAATCGATTTCCTAAGTGCCTGCTTTAGCCAGGTGCTACTCTAAATGCAGCAATGGTCAAAAGCAACAAAACATCCCTCTACTATGAGAACTTACATTCCAGGATGACCACCTTCTCTCCACCCTGGAGGGCATGCCCCAGGTGCCCCACCTGGAGAAGGGAGCTGAGCAAGCCTCGGGAAACTGGCCTTGTCTGCGACCTTCTTTCAGCCTGGAGAGCACCAATACTACTGCTACCACCTGGAGGAGAGATCAGTCCTGTGGAGGAGTTTTGAGGCCTACTTAGGCCATAGGGGTGACCTTCTATCAGCCCAGGGAGTTTTGCCAGCCAAGGAGATGGATGGTTACACAACATCCTATCCCCGGGAGAGTATGAGATCCTTGCTGTAAGTGGTTGGGGGCCTGCTGGGCTTGGGGCCACAGTAGATTGGGCTTAGTGGGATTTGGGACTGTCCGGACCATGCCTGGAGACCTTCCTTCTGTCTGGGGAGCTTTGCTGCAGAGGGGGGAGCTGTGCGGCTTGAGGAAACTTTAGGCCTACTTGAGACAAGCCTGGCAACCTTCTTTTAATCTGGGGGCCTCACTGCCCAAGGAGGGAGCTACACTACCAGAGGAGTCCCAGGAACCGAGGACATAAGAGACAATTTCCAACTAGCCCAAAGGAAGCTTTGGAACAACACTTGAAACATGGAAATATAGGAAAATGACAAAACGAAAGACCAAAATGCAATCTTAAGCATCCAGTCCATCCCAAGAAACCTTAGAAGCTATGTACATAGAAGGAAATATATGGCATACACCTGAAACATTGGACATAATAGCA